AAAAAAAGGAGCTTAATTTTACTAAAATTTACCTCTTTGAAAGACATATTTAATGAAGCTTTTACCAATATATTCCTATTCTTCAACTTAATTTTATAAAAAATAAGTATTTTATTTTTTTAACTTATACGTTATTATCTTTCGAATTTATTATAAATCTTAATTCAGTAATTATCTGTTTTGTAGTTAAACGTCTGATTAAAAATCTGGGAACCTATTTATCATTTCTATTCGAAGGTGAGAATTTAATTGAAGCAAAAAGCAAAAAAGTTATTATTTAAAAGTATTTTACACAATTTAAATAATTTTTTAACAGTTGCAGCTATAAAAAATATTTTGAAATAATTTTAAGAGATTTCACTGAAACGCGTAGAGGAAATATGCCAAATGACAGCCACTAACACCTGTTAGATCATCCCTTCCGTTTAACGTCTGTCGGTAGGTTTTTACAGTTTAGTGGCAACAATTCGATTAGGAATTCTACAAATTCCATCGGCGAATCGCATCTGATTCGAATCCCACCCTTTTTGCTCCCCATTCGATCCGATATACGCTCAGATGGCTGATCACGTGCCCTTTGAACCAAGCGAGAGTCTTAGAGGCGGCTTGCAGAAACAGGAAATGTACGTAACTTGTCAAAAGTATGTTTTTTTATGGCCATGTAAAGAACGTAGCGAGCACAAAACGCCATTGATTCCTCTTTACATAACTATAATTCGAAGGTCGTTGTTTTACTTCGAGCACCAGTCAAATAGTTTCCGCAATGATCGGGTAGAGATGGCACGGCTTAGAACTGTCACACTAAAATTTTGATTTAAAACCAAACATCAATAATAAAAACCAGATTAAAAAAAATCCAAACATGTTTTAAAATATTTTTTGTTATAAAATCGTATTACAACTCTCAGATCTAAAGGATCGCTATCTGAATTATTGAAACGAATGTGATTTGAGACGTAAATCTTGACAGACGTAATAAAGCTTTTTCTTCTGTTCTGTTGGTGCAGTGATGTTCTTATAGTAGTTTTCTATACGAGATATTAGTAAAGTAAAGCATAAAGTCAAATGAATTTTCTGAAATTAGTCATAGTTCTAGATCAGTCACGGTAAAAACTGGACTGAAATGATTTTTTTGTATGGCATTGTCAAACTATGGCTTTGCCGCATCTGCCTAACAGACTGGATGCTTTCGTGAAGTACTCCATAAGAGAAATTGTATCTTATTCAATTTGAATAACCACAAAAACTCCCATGCAGACAGCTCGTTCGTTGGATCAGGGAAAGGGAGAAGAAATTCAGGTTTCTAGACTTTGGCTTAAATTTTGCGAACTTGGTCGCATATGTGAAATAAAATCGCGCTTACTTAAAAATTATGTTCGTTGAGTGACCGAGTGAATAAAATTGCTAAAAATTAGTATCCTGAATCTCGGCTCATATTCCGACGATCACGGTGACTGCTTAGGTTTTCACACGTAACGTGAAAGAAAGAAGCTCTCATTCACCTCGCCTAAGGGAAGGGATGCCCTCCCCGAATGCATCCCTGCGCTTCGGCGGATACCCCCGCCCCTGTACTTTCCCGTGTTTAGTGAATCAGCTGTCTAAAATACTGACGGGAATACCTTAACCCTTTCACAACCAGTTTTTTCTTTTTAAAAAAAAAAAAAGATAAATTAGGGGTTTATTAGGTAAAATAAAGTAGAAATAGCAATATTCTGCCCAATTATAAGCAAAAATTTACTGTAAGGGCCATTTTGGAGGTGGGACATTGTGTCCCACTGGTCTTTTTAGTTGGGACACATGTGTCCCATTGGGGTTGAAGTGAAATAAAACATAGTGAAAAGTTCAGTTTTCTAGTTCTAAATGAAATTCACAATACTTTTGAAACAGTTTTATCAGAAAACACCTACCTACAAACATTATTTATGAAATTTTCTGTATGGTACAGTGCAAAACAGTTTACATAGTGCAATTTACACATGGAAAACAGTTTGTTCGGGTTTCTGATTTTGTTTGGCACAGAGGGCACATTTCTTCTTGTGGGCCCTTCTAATGGCAAATGATTCCAACATTCAACATCAGTTTGTTACATTGACGGTCGACCTGATTTCTTCCTCTTGACAATTGCATTTTCTTTGCCATGAGCAATCATTAATTCGGCTAGGGGGACAAGTATTGCAAGAGAGGTTTTCCTATGTTTGGTTTCTTGAAACAAAGGTGTGCATTCACAAAGCTGTCATCAAAAGTTATAAAATACTTTTTTCCACCATTTGTAATCTTCTGTCAAAATCATATGGCATATCTTTTGATCAGACAAATCTACTCCTCCCATAAATCTGTTATAGTCGGCAATAGCGGTAGGACAATTTGTCATTACTTTTTCTCCATCTTTCTGCTTGGTTTACTTGTATGACATCAGGTCCGTGGCAATTACTAGAATCAGAACTTCCTTTGAATCTTTGCATCTTGCTGCAAGAGTTCCTCTTCTATTGGAGAAATTCTGAATCACTTTTTGAAGTTTTTCGTCAGAGAATTTTGGCATGTCTTTCTACGAGAAATACAAGTACCAACAGAAGGAAAGGATATGTTATCCAATAAGTTTACACTTGTAAAAAACTATCAAATGTAAGGTAACATCTGGGTTACGTATTGTGAGGAAAGTTTTAGAACAACTTTTCTCCAAGTATTTACCCTCATGATCTGTATTACCATGTCTTTGCCAGAATATATATGAATCATAGGTGAGCTAGTAGCGCATCACATCTCTCCCACACTTGATTCCCGTTTTCTTGGCTTTAGGGGGGGTAAATACTGCTTTAGGCTGAACGACCTTTGAATTTAGCCAGGATCATCGATGCTTTGAAAGGGACTCTTCGCGAGCTTGCATAATGTTTTTTTGAAACATGCCACCACTTCATCCAAAATATGTCTTTGGAGCATGCATCTTTTTCTGGATCATGAAGTACATTTTGCAAGAGCAATAGGAATCTGTTACGGGAAATCGATTTTTGATAGCTTCGTCCCAATGAAGAATTGCTGGACCAAAATTCTGAAAAGTCGGTACGATTATACGACAGCAAGATAACTCCCAACACAAGCATAATTTCTGACGGGTCGTGGCAGGATATTACTTTTTTTTCATGTCTCAGTATTTCAAGGCGCTGGTTGTCATGGAGAAAAAAATAAGAACGTCGTGAAATACACATGAGAAACATCTAATTCATTAGAGGATTGTGATTTGCCAGTATTGCAGTGGGACGGTCTTTAGAACATGGCCGTGGTCAAAATTGGACCAAATTTGACCAAAGACAGGATCAGTAGGTTTGAAATAGTTTTTTTTTTCTGTTTATTTTTGCCTTGCACTTAATTTTGATACCTGCTCCGCTATCGGGGAGAAATCATCAGAGTCCGAGTCAACGGAGGGGTTCTGATGAATGCTCAAGACATGACAGCTTTCGTTTCGGTGCCCTTGATGTTCCTGAATTTTCTCTCAATTCTTCACAGCTATCACTGTCTGAGGAACCTAGGGACATATTCCTTGTCTATATCTGAATCGTCCAATTCATCACTTGAATCCGGTTCATTCAATAATTTAATTATATCTTCCTTTGTCAATCCCTTCCTGCGATTCATGATATTGTATGCTAAAAATACAGAAATGACCACTTGAGAATGAGGCATAGATATATTTCAAAACCACGGGACATAGTCCCAATAAAAAAAGACCATTGGGACATATATGTCCCATAATATATTTTTTTTTCAAAAATCTACAATGAAAATTCACTACTTCAAAATAACTGCTTGAATATGGCAAAAATAGACGGAAAATCACATACAAGAAAACAGCACGTGTGTCCCCAGTATCTTCGCCTAAAATGGCTGCCAAATGTCCAACTTTCCGCTTGTCAAAACTGTTACGATAAAACAAAGAGCTCCAGGGCAAAGTGTCACTATCGAGAAAAAATTACACTAAAGGTAGATGTAATCACAGGAAACCAGTGGGACACTCGCGGCAATAAATTTTACGCTTGTTTTTCCCATTGGGTGATTTGGAAACATTTGCGGGACATATATGTCCCGGTGGGGCCGAAAGGGTTAAGCTCTCTTACTTTCAGTACCTCTTACAACAAAATGATTTTTTCATTATTAGCAAAGCTACGCCTGAAGCATTATCTCAGGCTTTCTAAAGCATCAAAATTTAAATAATACAAATACTATGTTGTGTTTGTGCTTTTTTAACAGTTACAATTTTTTATGAGTTTATGAAATGATTCTTGGTCTCCATATTGATTCGCCTTAAAAATATAATTTTTGTAATAGATATAACAGAAGTATAACAAGCTCAATTTAAAATTAGGCAAATTTCAATCTATTTCAGTTTTAAATTGGTATTTGTTCTAGAAAAACTCGCGAAGCCTTTCAAGAATGAAGAGAGGGTTTCAGTTATGCAAGGCCATTATTTTTCCCGTGGTTTCATTACTTAACTAGTCACTCACTCGCATTCCTTCGTTCTTCATTTAAGTAGATATACATATATTTTGAATTTCAAATTTTGGTCTTTGTAAAACTGGTTCTAAATTTCTTACTTTATGTCTTTACTGATATTTTTCAGTAACTGAATACGCGAAAATATTAGGTGCGAACTAAGCAACGCTGGCCATTGTGCTACTGCCTAACTCGGCTCTGAGAATTGTGTTATCCAGCGTCAGCTTCCTCAGCCGAGTTACTCGCAATGAACTAGAGCTGAACCCGTTTATTAGGCTTTGGCACTTGTAAATCTTAAACAACCTTGTAAACATTAAATTAATCTTATAAATTTTTATCTTGTAAACATTAAATTACAGTTTAGTTTTAATTCTCGTTTTATGTTATTTGAAATCCCATAAGCTGCGAGATCAAACTGTAAGCACAAGTCGTGCATTTGTTAAGTTTTAAATACAAAGTTTGTTTAAACGTTATAAAAAATTTAAAAAAATAATGTAATTTTGTTCTTCTTATAGGGTACCTTAGTGGTGTAATTAGAAGAACGTGCGGCCAGCAACAGGAAGATGCGGAGTCTCAATCCCGGCAACGGCAATGCTGTTTTCTCACGTTACCTTATTGGAAAAAATGTAATCTATAGTTTTTAGCGTAACTGATGTTAAAATATTAGTTAAGCGTTAATGATGCTAAAATATTGATCATTTTCTTCTAATATGAAATTTAGGTTCTTAATTAAATAATTTTAAAGATCCCTTTTGTCTGTCCGATGTTTTGATTGATTCTACTGAGAAGAAATATGAAAAATTGCCCAATAATTAAATTTTGATGAAAGGAATAAATTTAATTTCCAGCCGAAAAATGTATTAATAAGAAAAAAAAAGTAAATAAAAACAAATACCATATATTCCAACTTATAACGCGCACCTATAATTTCAAATTATATTTATTAATTTTTAGATATATTCTCCGTATAACGCGCACCTTTTTACCCCTTTTTCTACGAAGAAACCTAGAGATATATAAGCCATGCTCTTATCCTTCTAAATCATTCATTCGAAGGCTTTTCCTAGGCGTTCGAACAATGGTATACTCAACTGGCAAGCGATAAGGGGAACAATACGTGTGTAAGGACAAATGGTTGAAGGAGCAAAAAATTCTGCAAAGGGAATGGGTGTATTCAATGCAGCTGTGCATAAGAATATTATTCTAGAGTTTCGAGAAAAGGGAAACAGAATTTGTTGAAAAAATACCCACCCTGTCTGTTCTTGCGACAGAATAAACTTATCAATCATATTTAAGTCTCGCAAGAACTTTAATAGTCAAAGAGAAAATTTTAACAACTCCGTTGCGTAATAAGTTAGAATTTCTTTTGTGTAAAGATGAGTTCAGTTCATGAAACAATCATGCAAGATTACAGAATACTGTAAACGCCATAACTTCACTTAACACAGGGTGGCCCAAGTTTATAACTGAACCCAAAGTATGTGAAGAACATATGAATTATAAGGTGATGTTATACAAATAGCTGAAAGTCGAAAGTCTACCTATGTAGGTTCCTCCCTCTCTACATATTCTGTTGGAAATGTTGACCGCCACGGTCCAGGCATAGTTTGGCCGATGAATCAAGTTTATTGCGACTCGTCCTCTTGGATGATGGTGAAGACGTTGTGTATTTTCTGTTTTTAATGCGTTAAAGAGTTCGTAGATTGTTCAAGTAAACCTTGCCCTTCAGGTTGCCCAATAATAAGAATGGCAACAAGGTAACCTCGAAGACCGTAGATCCTTCGAGACAGTCCTGTCAGATATGAAAACTGAGTACACAGCTTCCAAGGAGGCATATATTTTGCATGCTGTCGCGGCGCCCTGCCATCGAATATAGTAACACTCTTACGTTTCTCCCCTGTCGTGTACGGTTCAGTTTATCTTGGGTCACCTTGCAAAAAATATGCTGGAAATAATGACAAAAGGTAGGGTTTTAGTTTGACCAACAAATTTCTCTTTAACATTTACTTTTCTTACATCTTGTTTTAATTTAACACAGTGCAAAAGCTGTTAACTCAGAGAATGTGAAGAAGAAGCAAGGCACTGAATTAAACAGACTGCGAGCGATATGAGCTAATACAGAATACTGCTCGCTTTGAAATGTTTGGCAACAAGTTTGTAGTCATGATGGTGTCTGTCATCTGACGTATAAGTAGCAAAGAAAAGTGGTAAGATAATTTAAATTTTTAATAGTAATAAAACCCAGTCGTAAACGAGAATGTTAATTAAAACAGCCGTTTATTTAATCACCACCGCATGCAATTACAGATAATTTGCTTTGTATGTTTGAGATTTCATCCTTGTAAGTTACAATTGCTTTTTTTAATTAAGTTTTAGTTTTTGTAACCTTGCATATAAGAAAAAGAAAATGAATTAATAACCTTGAGTTTTAATTTAAGATACCGTTATTCCATTTAGCGAAGTTACGACATAAGCATCAAATCTTCAGTTTCCAAAAAGTAGGTAGCCAAAGGACTACTTTTTTTCGGACTTTCACTCGAAACCTTTTACATTACTGTTTGTTTCTTATTGCAAAAATAACTCCTTCTTTTTCAACTCTAAACAACATATTCGCTCAGTTGTTAGATTTTTTATGAAGTAATATTAAACTTTAAGACTTAATATCGAAGGTAACGGTAATTTCTAAAAAGAATACGCCAAGCGGCAACTAAGAGATTCAAAAGGAAATAATTAATTTTGATATTTCGTTTGAGGGAGAACATAATATGGTAGAAAAGGAAGTCACAGACATATACTTTTCATATTTTTTCAAGAAAGACAAGAAATACTCTCTGGTGATAAAACTAGCGTACTAGTTAGTAAGCGACCATCCTGCTGTCATCAGAAGTGTCTTGAAACGAGCTTCAAGATGAGACACTCAGCGAGACCCTTCTGCACTTTATTAATTAAACTTGGGTGCCGGGAGGTTGTTTCTTAATTGTTCTCTCTTTGATGCTAGAGAGACGTGGACTGCATTTTGATTACCGTTGATCTTTTCATCGTAGCATCAACAAAAATAGAGATCACATCTACGAGGAAGTAATAACTCTACTCAAGCAGAATCACGATCTTAATGAGATGCGAATGAAAGCGAGTAGGGGGAAGACCTTATAAGGAGTGGCCCGATTAAAGTGCCGCATAGGATTTGCAAGCATAACCGGCCGGAATAAAATTCTGAAATTTTTAATGATTTCTTTTCGTGGTGTACGTGTTGTGTAGGTATTGTTCTCAACTAATGAAGTTTGGCTGCAGTAGAAAAACGTGCCAGTACTTTTTAGTTCCAGTTTTTACAGCTTTAATCCTGATGCTTAATATATCACAGAGTTAAAGGCATTCCTTCTTTGTGTTCTTGCAGTTCAATCATCAGCAAGAGGTTATAACTGGAAGATCTCAAGTTTGATTCCCGGCGATGTTACTATTGGTTTTCAAAGATTCTTGCTGAGTCATTCAAAATGACTCTACAGTGGTATTCAGTCTAAAAAATAATGGTCGATATTCCATCAACACCTTTATAATAGCTGACTAGGTCTTGAACAATGTTAGTAAAACTCTACTTTGAGGATCTTGAGTCTTGCCTACCCATTCCAAGTCGATATTTAAGATGATGCAAGAAATTAAAGGTATTCCACCAATGTGTCTTTTTAATCTTATTGTTCAGATTCAGATAACAACTGGAAGATTTCAGATCCAATTCCGTGTAAAGGCCCGATTCCAGTTGAATTTTTTAAGATTCTCTCTCACAAAAATCATAATAATAATACTGTATAATGTTAATTTAATATGATACAAAAATACTAATCTCTAATTGCTATTCTCTAGTCAGTCCTGATCAGTTCTTAAAATTTAACTTTTATTTAAGTCGGCAAAAAATAATTGTTTGCATATAGTAATTTTTTAACTTAAAGTTTTTTATTCCTTTAAATCTATATACTACACTGGTTTTGCTTGGTGCAATGTTGCAAGAGAACTGCTAATTTGTCAGACTATTTTCCATGTTCGTATGCACGCCATGAACGTGTTAATACCATGTATTAATAGTTCAGCGTCACTGCCTTTCACTTTCATAGCCGATACAATAGTGATATTTGTCATTTACAGAATTTTTAAGTCAACTTATCTGGTTTCTTACTGAACGGCTTATTACAGTAAACCCTTGCCGAGCACGGATTTGCAGAATGCAATTTCGCATGTACACGTTATCTTGATTGTTTTCATTAAATTTTACAATGCTAGAATTTCGTTCATAGTTCATCATTCATTCATCAACAAGGAATGTTTGTTGGCATCAACTCTGGTCTGAAGTTATAAGTAGTTTCAAAATATTTCCATCAAATAAAAGTCATGCTAACGAAATCATACAAATCGCAAAAGCTACTGGCGGCGAAGTATTTTCAGATATGGAAGAATAGGAAATCAAAAAATTAATCGAGAAATGACGAGTGAGGAATTAATGAACACCAGCGGATAGTAAAAGCAGTGAGGAGAAGGAAAAGCTCCTTTAACTTAGAAGATAAACGGATTCTTAAAAAAGGCACACAGGAACTGTCTGATATTGCAGTGCAGTTTGATACAAATGAAGAAAATAGGTGACACAATGAAGCATTAAAATACTCTCCTCTACCTACCGCGACATTTTTGGAAGGTGCATCAGTCACCAGAAAAATGTCGCCAGCTTTTTAAAAAACAGCTGTAGATCATGCTTATTAAGTAGTAACATAAATCCCTTCGGTTAACATTTGTTTCTCACTTTTATTTCTTTTTTTCCCCCAATTACAACGATATTTGAGTTTGTTTAATTTATGTGTACTTTCTTAATCTGAACTTTACCTAAATACACTTCTTTTTATCCATAGAAAGTTAACTTTGCGGAACGCGATTTCGTCTTACACATAATGCATTAATAACGTTGTACAGCACTTTGGAATTCTAAGTTAATGTTGGAAGTGAAGAATCTAAGAATTGATAGCGAAACGCTGCGTCGGTACAAGAAACAACAAGATGGAAGGGTAACAAACCCTTTATTATTCCCATAAGATTTAACAAAACTCCGCCTGGGGAGTGTTACAAGCAAAGCCCGCACTGAACTTAAAAGACAGAATTAAACTAATAAAATAAGAGAACTAAGAAGTTAGCCGAAGCTATCAAGGTAACGAGTTGGCCCCTTTAAACTGATTGACTACGAAGCATAGCAAGGGCCGAGTACGGCCGAGCGTAATAAACAGCTTTGAGAAGAGAGTGGCCAAAAGGCAGCGCGCGTAAAATCAGAAACTTGAGTCTCTCGCCTCAGTAGGAACTCGTGGTTAAATATCATCATCTATAAAATTCAGCAGATTCCAAATTACGTTTGGCCGGAAGTAAGTAATTGAAGTTGAAGTAAGAATTGACGGAAAGGAACTTAAAATTTAACTGTTAATAAAATTAACATAATCCTTACAAAGTAACCCTGCGTTTGACAAGGGTTTGCTCCAGGAATGGGGAAAAAGCTGATCTTCGGGCCGAAATGCGACCCTTTTAATTGCTTTATCCCGTCAATTATAAAATTCTGCACGATGATACGAGTATTTTCATTTATTACCTACTCGATTTTGTACGCAACCTACGGAATTCAGCAGCACGAATGCAGATCTATTATTACAGTATTATACGCACGACCATATTATAGTTTGTTACTAGCACTTTAAGGCGATTTCTTCTTCCCAAACAATGACA